AGGATTTTTAAACATTCTTCTTGTTGGTTAGAGAGACAACATTGGTTAGAAAAAGGATGTTTTAAACAAACTTCTTGTTGGTTAGAGAGACAACATTGGTTAGAAAAAGGATTTTTAAACATTCTTCTTGTTGGTTAGAGAGACAACATTGGTTAGAAAAAAGATGTTTTAAACACACTTCTTGTTGGTTAGAGAGACAACATTGGTTAGAAAAAGGATGTTTTAAACAAACTTCTTGTTGGTTATAGAGAAAACATTGGTTAGAAAAAGGATGTTTTAAACAAACTTCTTGTTGGTTAGAGAGGCAACATTGGTTAGAAAAATGATGTTTTAAACAATTTTCTTGTTGGTTATAGAGACAACATTGGTTAGAAAAATGATGTTTTAAACAAACTTCTTGTTGGTTAGAGAGACAACATTGGTTAGAAAAAGGATGTTTTAAACAAACTTCTTGTTGGTTAGAGAGACAACATTGGTTAGAAAAAGGATGTTTTGAACAAACTTCTTGCCTGAAAATAAACATTATAAACAAACGACGTTTCTATAAGAAACGTTATAAATCTTATATTTTAGTCAAAGCTACAACCAGGATCCACGATGAGTTATAAGCATTCACGGTTATGTATTTGTTAACTGTGATGGAAAGCATATCAATAATTTTAATCTCTGATCGATTTTTCTGGCCGACTCGAGAGTATAATACAAGTTACACGTTTTAGCCGTTCTCTGTGTAAAGAATTCCTAAGTAGTGTATTTGAACTGTCATCAAAGATTTTATTATAGTAATAATTGTACTTAATTAACTATAACCATACATATACACCGTTACACTTCCATAATAACTCTTAAAACATAAGATTAACATACTTTCTGACCAGAACAGTTTTCATCTTTGTTGTCTAAATAATATAGCTAAAACTGTTGTCTAGGTAATATAGCTAACCTTGTTGTCCTGGAAACACTTCTATTTCTGTTATCTGGGAAGCTGCTAACACTGTTATCTAGGTAACACAGCTAATATTGCTGTTTAGGGAACACTGCTAATTATGTTAAAAGACAGCTTTATATTAAACCTAAAATAAAGTAAGAAATAAATCGAATGAAACCAAAAGAGACTGCAGTAATGCAGCTGATTTTAGATAAAAGGATTAAATCATAATATTGTCCAACTTCTATATCAATTCATCTGACAAAACAATCAAGGTTTATCAAAGATCTATGAAAAGAAAATCATTGTGTGACTTGTAGCATAGAGATCATTATTAAAAGTTTTCCTTAAAACACAGGAGAAAAAAAAACACACATATCTATATTCATAGCTGCATAAATACACGCGTGCACATGCATTCGAGCGCTACAAGCCACCGGATGAAACCTTGCACGGCTTCTGTAGTTCCTGCCCATGCTTAGCCTGCATCTATTATTAAAAGCTAAGAGCAACAGCCGCTGTCGTCTGCTGGTACAATGCTTTGGCTTTGTCAGTTTATTCTTATTCTCGTTCATTAAGTCATATTATAATTCATATCGTTATAATGTTGAGACGCTAAATTCGTAAATTTGGATGTCTTTATGAGAAACAAAATAATGCAAACTCACCTTTTATAGAAATAATAAATTATAACAACTCAAGATAATATGTCCTCCCCTCACTCCTTACAACCAACTCTTACTAACAATGCTAAGTTTGTGCTACGTCGCACCTGATACCTTCCCACGGCACACGCGCAATGTTTAACCAATGAAACGATTGCTCTGCCATCCAATCAGAATGGAAAGAGAAAGATTCTTGACCTAAAGCACCGTCAACCCTTATTTGACAGGAAAAACGTATACATTTCACATGACGACTGGTGAGAAGAGGAATAATCCAATTTCCTAACCCCTGGATCTTCAATCCAGGTGATGATTGACAAGGGAAAACTGATTATTGTATTTTAAGCCTAATCTATGTTCACCAGGGTAAAAATATCAAATAAAAGTTCATGATAAGATAATGAATCTACGATTAAAAATATTAGAAGAAGATTTCTGACCAATTTGAAAGTTTTTATTTATTTCTAATAATATGAATAATTGCAAATTAACACATAAAGATTTATATAAAAATAATGTTCTGTTGAAACATGTAGTATGTTCTTTACATAAAATAATTTTGATAATGCTTATAGTTATAAATGGTTGTTTACTATTGTATTAGCATAATGTGCTTCCGTACACAAGTATCGCTTTTACTTTAATTTTTTTTTTATTAATTATTTGAAAGTAATTTTTTGGGTAAATCTAAAAGATGAACTGGTGTTGAGTTGAAAGACGAGGCAGTGATCCAGGCTTTTACCTTTAACAATTTCTAATGACTAGGACTTGCATGTCAGAATTACCATTATAGACAGGAGAACTGAGGCGCCTAGGAACTGGAAAGTCAGTGAAGCATTTTCAGAATGTAAGGTGTTCGGGAAGGTTATCACACACCCTGCGGCTGTTTCTCCGATGTGTAGTTTATGACACCCGCTGCAGTGGATACAGTAAATGACACATGGACTTTATATCAGCATGATGGAAGGAATAAATTGTTACAAACAACACTACCAAAGTTCCACACTACATGTTATAGTACGTTGGTGAGTTCCAGTAACAGAGGAATTGTTGGTTTGTAGCTTCGAGTGGTCTTTAAAATTTGGATTACGTCTATAAGAGATTGAAGGGGTGTAAATTAAAATGTATCTGTGTGGATTAGCTAATATCCTGTTGAGGGGATGGTATATTAATATCAAGGGGGCTAGATACTAACCAGTTGAGGGGACGGTATATTAACATCAAGGGATCTATAATAGTTACTAACCTGTTGAGGAGGTGGTATGTTAACATCAATAAAAGTATATTAGTTACTAACCAGTTGAGGGGACGGTATATCATCATCAAGGGGACTAGTTACTAACCAGTTGAGGGGACGGTATATTATCATCAAGGGGACTAGTTACTAACCAGTTGAGGGGACGGTATATTAACATCAAGGGGACTAGTTATTAACCAGTTGAGGGGACGGTATATTAACATCAAAGGATTCTATCAGTTGGACTTTTGTCTTTAGGTCTGGTATGTGATTCAGTGTTTAAATGTTTTTTTTTTTTTATGAAGTCGGTCGGGTTTTATCCAATATATAACACCCATACTTTACCTTCAAATATATACATATATAATGCAAGTGCACCTGAACATGTAAAAATAATTTATATGAACTCCCAGAAATAGTAACACTAAACAGTGTTCATACTCATTCTTGAGTGACTGTTGTTCCGCAAGACTTGAGCAGAAACAATTCAAATAAATCAACACACGTCTAAGTGGAAACTAGATTCTGTATTATTTTGTGCGCCGTTTCGGGTAGACGCCCTTCGTCAGGCAACATTTATCATGTTGCATAGAAATTAGAATAAGAAAAAGTCGTTAAATACATAAATGTAATTAATATTGTTTGAGATAAAACATTGTCGGACTTTTGTTGTAAAAAATGAAGAAGCTTTAGTTAGAGCAACTAAAACTGGATTTTAGGATGTAATAATTATTATCGTCAATTACAAAAATAATAATAAGAGTGAAAGTTTCACCAATAAAAGGTTAAAAGAAACTGACAGGGAATAGTTGTAAGTTATTGTTGTTTTCTTTGTGCAAAACTACACAATAGACTATCTGTACTCTGTTCGCTAACGAGAATCGAACGGCGAATTTTAGCATTGAAGACATAATGGTGAGTAAAAACATGGAGAAAAGTTTGATTGAACAAAAAATTTGTTGAGAACTTTATTCATCAAATGGAAGAATTGCTAAAACATTAAGAAAGTGAAACGTTTTCTAAAATATTAAAGTTTCGTAGTTGATAAACAGCACTTTCTACGAACGTTTTTCAAAACAAAAAGACACTCAGTTTAATATAGTTTGAACGAAGATAAAAAAAAACACTCAGTTTAATATAGTTTGAACGAAGATAAAAAAGACACTCAGTTTAATACAGTTTGAACGAAGATAAAAATAAAAAAGACACTCAGTTTAATATAGTTTGAATGTATTTTTTATCTGCGTTCAAACTATATTAAACTGAATGTCTTTTTATTTTTATCTTCGTTTTTTATTTTTATCTTCGTTCAAACTGTATTAAACTGAGTGTCTTTTTGTTTATTTTTATCTTCGTTAAACAGTGTTCAAACTATGTTAAACTGAGTGTCTTTTTGTTTATTTTTATCTTTGTTCAAACTATATTAAACTGAAAGTGTTCAAACTATGTTAAACTGAGTGTCGTTTAACGAAGATAAAATAAACAAAAGACACTCAGTTTAATACAGTTTGATCAAAGATAAAAATAAACTGAAAATGGATTTTCGTAACAGGAGAAGTGATTAAAACTGATCTTAACATAGTTATGATCTGTGTACGTAACGGTTCTGTCATAACCTGCTCGAGGACTTATCTGTTCTGTCATAACCTGCTCAACGACTTATCGGTTCAGTCATAACCTGCTCGAGGACTTATCGGTTCTGTCATAACCTGCTCGAGGACTTATCGGTTCTGTCATAACCTGCTCGAGGACTTATCGGTTCAGTCATAACCTGCTCGAGGACTTATCGGTTCAGTCATAACCTGCTCGAGGACTTATTTAACCATATCTCTTCGATTACTAAGTGCCATACTATTTAGTTGATTGATTTTAATAGCCTAAAGATGATGCGTGCGGTAATAATTATTAAACAAAATTAAGACGATTAAGAATTACGTTGTAGTAGTTAATTACCTATAGAAAGTTAAGGATGGTACACCGCGGTAACACGGGTTTGAATTTAGTTTTCTAGTATCATTTATTTGTTCATTTCGTCAAGTCGGAAATAAAATCATATAATTAATGAGCCATCATTTCTACAAATGTTTTTAGTAATGTTCTAGATATTTATAGAGCTAGAAGTTAGACACTCAGTTTAAAACATCTTGAACACTGGCTAACGAATGTATAAACAATCGATTAAGGTTTAGAATGTAATAAATATTGGAACTTTAATAATATTGATATTCAAACACGTCTGTTAAGTAATAACAAGAATCTACTATAGTTTAGAGATTGCTTTTAGCTATTTCACTCTAACAGCGTAAGCACTAAAGTAGTGTATAACATATCCGCCAGGTGGACGTTGATCACTGGTGACAATAATAATGTGTTGAACATCGAATATTCACACCTATAATTAATTTAGTTTACTAATCCTGTAGACACTTTTTACAGAACTAGCTGTAACAAATATACTTAAAACCGCATAAGCGAAGAAAATATCAAAATTAAATAATAATTTTTATATTTTTTATTCAAAGAAGCTTTGGAAAGCTGTACGATCTGATGAAGAGCGCTAACTCGAAACGTCATCCTTCTTTGAATAAAAATATAAAACACTTGTCGATAGTTCAACTTATTATTTAATTTAGATCACATCTCAAACAATGTAAAAAAATAACGTTGGCATTAACACTCGTTTGCCATAGGGACGTATTTGAAACGCCCTCTATTGTAGGAGTACTAAGGGTTTTTTCACACTGAATTCAAAGATACATAGTTTGTAGAATCTTTTTTAAATAAAATATACAATGAATCAATCAAATACACAATTTTTGATACTTCATCAAATTTCCCTTGAATACAAAATTCCTAGTCGAGAAAGGCATTGATTAAAAATACTTACCTAGAAGTACAGAATGGCATAAAACAATACATTCAAAACTAAAATCTATGATGAACTGTGTTCGTAATTTGTATATATAGATTCTAAGACTATCTGCCTACATCCCTAATTTTTAACTACTGAAAACAACCTCTTAGCAGCGCCACCCACGCTAATAGATTAACTGCCATTTTTATAACGCAGCACAAACTGTGACGTACCCACAGCACAAACTGTGGAGAATATCTCCCAGATTCAAACGCTAGCTCCAAAAGCCAGAGCTCTATCACAGAACCAACCCACCCCCAACCTATAATCATTAGATTACATTGAATCGTAGTTCTCTCTGTAAACGACATTTCGGCCATAATACCAGTAATAACTCCCCAATAGCTCAGATTTATATTAGTCATAAGTTCACACAACAATGCACAATTGGTTTCCATAAGTGTAACTAAAATTCAATGACTTACTTTAAACATCATTAATAAGATGGAATTCAACTAACTATAAATGAAAGGCCAGAAATTATCCTTTGAGAAAGTAAAATAATTTGGACAACTCTATAATAGGTACTGTAAAATAACGCAAAACTATAGTATTTTTGTTTCACACAATAAACTCAAACTTATAAAACTTTAGCATTAATACAGTGATTTACTCATTCACGCTATCCTTTAAATTTAATTACAGAGAAATATTCAGGCTTAATACAGTAATTTATGTAAATCGTAGAATACAAGTTCTTAATGTTAAAGTCATAATTTAAACAAATGAAATACGGCAACTGTCAGATGTCTTTGATTTTTTTATAATAGAAAAGAAATTTTAAAAACTGGCTGATATCCCAATTGTATGCCTTAGCTGTGGCTTTAGAATGTTAAAAAATTAATTTAAAAAAGCATTATTTCAATCTCCGAAAAATTAACTAAAAACTGAAACATAAAGTGTATAAATCACAAGTTATATGTT